TATCTATATTAGTTACAATTGGTTGGTCAAAATCCTTCAAAATTAATTTAACTATACACTGAAAAAAATTAAGTAATATTAACAGATTAAGGAATATCTATCACACTTCTAAAAGGATTTAGCATTTTCTAAAGTGCAAATCAATCTCTTTGTTAGAGAAGACCTGAATTAGGTAGCAAATAAATGCAAATCTAGTTCTTTTAACAAGAGGTCAAGAAAGAATAACTTGTAAACTGCTGAATTCTCATAATCACATCTTCAAATTTACACTCATTGTATTAAACAATAGACTCTTTCAACTGAAATTATACATATAAATGACAATACATAGTATTATTTGTTGTATAATTGAATTTTGTGTAATTATTTTACAAGCTATAAACTACATTAAAGCTACTGTAATGATTACATTAAACATTAGTTACAGAACCACAATTTTGTCTTAAATTATTTGCTAAAGAATGTCATTCCAGTATGTTCACATTAAAATAAAGCTATTTACACGAAAAAATCTAGTTATGTTGATTAATTACTCATGATTATGCTGTGAATCATGCATTAAAACATAAATCAAGATGATGCCAAGGGTAAAAATATATCAAAATGAAACAGCTAACCATATAAAATCTAAACTTGATAATGATTTCAATAGAATACCAACTAATATATAAATATCGGTAGTCATCATCCCAAACAACTCATCCAAATATTGCATATAGAACTGTTAAATATCTAATCAATTTTTATGATAAGTGAATTTTTCTCAGATAGAAAAATATTTTTAGAATTTGAGTAGGCAATTTATGAAATTAATTTCAGAAACTTACAGTATATGTGATAAATAATTGTTAAAGTATTTACTTTAACAATTATTTATCACATATACTGTAGTATTCTTTCACATATATTTATCACTCATTCTGTACTATTTATTGCTAACACAACTTATTCTTCTATATCTTTCTATGTACCGTATATGTAATTACAACAAAATTTTTTGTGTGTATAATTTGGATAAATTATTAAAAAATTTGTCTATCTACATAAATTTATTTCTCATAAACAGCAGAAATAAAATTGGAAAAGTATTCAACAAAACTTCATCTCCATTGTTTGTATAAATATATATATAGCTTTGCTAACCAATTTATAAAGTTAATTTTAAAGCTTTATAATGCTAGAACCAAGCTGAAATTTCTGAATTGATGTTGGATCAACAAGATGTATCCATATCAATTCAGAAAATATGGCTCTTTAGTGTATATGAATTCTTACTCGAGAACTTAAAAATGTGGTACCCAAAGAAGACATTATATGAAGAGAACTAGCTCCTGTTGCAGGAGATCAATGCAAGTAGCATCAATCTAAATCTGTCACAACCTCTAAGAAGGTTAAAAATATCAAGTTCAAATAGAACTTTTGCATGCAAAAGATAATTAGGTAAAATAAGGTTAATGACTGACTGCTATGTTGGGATGATACAACTCCTCCAAAATATTTACTTGCTGCACTTTGTCATTCTATGCTCCACCTAATATGAAGCCCAAATCCCATGCTCTATGTCAAGAGGTTTGTTTATGGACTTGAGGTTCATGATGACTATTTTGATGAAAAGTATCTCTCGGCCTATGAAAGTGGCAATTAGTCTAAAAGTTAAAAGCATTTGTTCGCGCATTAAAAAAAATAAACTAGTTAAATATATTGAATTTTCCTTAATGTATCTCATGTCATTCATTAAAATTCTGATTTTGGTATTAACAATCACATTTGTAACTTACATTTTTGGTACAAGAGGATGTAAATTTGTAAAGAAAAAATTTATTTTAAAAACTTCTTAGAATATAAATTATCTTCTAGCAATTTCTCAGCCAATCTGGAGTTTCCCGTCATGTTTCTCTTAGTTATGCAAGACTAAGTTTTAAAAAAATCAGTATGTAACACACAGAATTTCTAGGAAATAAAGTATCAAACCATTATTTATCCAAACTGTATTGTTTTATAACCTATTTTACACTCGAGCGGAGATGTGTTTACACTTACTTTTAATTACGAATCAACAATTTTCCCTCATTTTATTGATAAGTAATTTACGAAGCATAAAACAGTTTTATTTTCAGTTTACAAGAATAACTACATGTTGCACTGTGCACCAAATAAAAACTTCAAAAATTGTGTAAAAACTAGAAGCACAAAATAAACTATAAAAATTTATACTGGTATTTTAATGCAGCAATCTATGGAAATTAATTTTCTTCAACGAGGAAATGCTTTATTACAAAAATTTATCATCATGTAGCAATGAAAATCAATGTTATAAGTTTAGTTTGTACACAGTCAGCCTACTATTTAATCATGCGCATTCTCATATATTTCATCACATTTATCTACTTCATTTGCATAATTACTATTCACACTAATTTGCACTTGCATTTAGCTAAAGATATAATTCAGATCATTTGCAGTTGTATAATGGCAGCTAAATATATCATTACATTAATATTAATTGTTTGAGAAATCTTGTTTAGTTAGGATATTATTTTGATGCTAATATTTATAGGAAATATTAATTTATACATTAACCAACTGTAATATTAATACAAATCAAACTTAGAGACAGAAGATGAATGTAAAAATTTTTTAAACTAATTAATATTTTCAGTATTTTGTAAGTTTTCCTCAAGTTACATTAATATAGACTATTGCAATTATATCAAATTTTTCAATAATTGGTACAACAATAACCAGTTTTAATTTATCCAGCAATAAAAATTTTAAAATCTTTTTGAGTCACTTAACAACTCATATCCAGGCTCAAATCTATGTAGTCAAACTCATGTTTATATGCTTTTCATGGAAAATGAAAAAATGTTGTATATTGTAACAAAAGTACAACATAAAACAAATTAATGCAGTATAACCATTTGTATTTGTATTGTAAATTGATCAATTTGTTTGTATTTTGTCATTTTTCTTTATTAACTTGTCATATAGTGGTACAGTATGCAACCGACATCAGTTGTTTTCTGTTGAAACTCCAGTCACTTGGAAGAATGAAGAGTCATTCTAAAAGTTAGTTCACACTGATGGCAAATAGCAAAAATGAATGAGAAACCAAAAAACAATTTTTATTCACTTAGCAAAATTAATTTACACTACAAAATGTAGAAAATGAAAATGTTCAATATGTTCAATCAGCAAATCAATTTGCTAAACCAATTGTACAGTACTTACTCAATACTTGATCATTACTTTATAGTGATATTTAGCATTAGATCATATTTAAAGATGACACAGAAAACACATGTGCAAAAATTTCCTTTATGCAAACTCTTCATCTTATGTTTGATTTTATATTCAAATTTTATATTCGAGAATGATTTTGGAACATCCAGCTTATTTAGAATTAAGAAAACCTGAGGAAGAACTCAGAAGGGGTTATGAAAACATTTGTAATTTTTTGCTTACCCATACGTTGCACCAGTTATTGGTTGGAGTGTCTTATTGTATCGTTATCCTAGTGTGGTATGCAGATTTGAAACACTAACAGTTTGGCATATGCTATTCATGTTACATATGCTATATATTAGTATAATACATTCCCATATCTATTATTTGTATTTATTTTTAATTTTGAGATATATTTATCCTTTTAAGAACTTTGATTAATTGTGAGTTAATGCATATTTTTAAATCTGATAGAATGTCTACACAAGATCTATTCTATGTTTGAATCCAAAGGCAAGTCATTATTGACTCAAAAATATTTATTAGTTTAAATTTTATTGCCAGATAGTAGTTGTTGATGTTTTAATTTATGTCAGTTTGTACTATATTGTTTATTAAGAAATTAGTCTTTTAAATAAGTTTTTCTCTAAAATTAATGTTTTTGATTATATAGAGTAACGTTCATTAATTAAAGATCTATTTCATACAAACAAGTAAAACAATTGAGTGACATATTTAATTTTCATATCTGATAAAGCCCGGATAATAACTAAAAGTGACACTACAGATTTTGAAAATTTTGCTTTGTATATTAAGAATGTATTTTTTGTAAACTTTTGAATCATGTATATGCTTCTATATATATATATAAACTATTGGGGAGAGAGAAACCAATGGAGAAAGGAGAATTGGCAAAAATAGAAAGAAATGTTGACCCAGCACAGCTTAGCTTGTGAAGGATGAGAAAAGTAAGAGAAAAAGATCTAAAAAATGAGTGAAGCAAGAATAGATTATTCAAATAGAAAAGGCAACAGCAAGAAGAGACTATCACACAGTTTTCCCACTCTTCAGAATTGTAGACGCAAAGAAGTCAAAGGAACCATACCCCTACATGCTACCCTCAACAAGATATTTGCCTCCAAAAATCAGTTTTTATCACATACCAGTACTACTGCCTATTTTCCACACTCCACATCGGTCAAGGCTTGCAGTCTCTCATCTCGACCAACACTCCGACGTCAATCTCACATCATTTACTTTGATGCATGTGATAGCGAACACTTCAGCATCCATGTGGGGATGAGCCCCACACTCCTCTAAAACTATAAAACATCAAGTACACCACAAACAGTCAAGCAGGCATAGTAACATGACTAAATAGTTAAAGGCAACAGTCTTAACAGAACGACTCCTGACAGCATGCAACCCAGTTCAAGTCAATTTTGGGGGGCCATATCTTGCCAAGGGTCACAAAGATGTATGGTTCCTTTGAATTTTTTGCTTTCTCTCAACTGTCTCATTCAGAGGTGTAGCCGTACCTATCCAGCAGATTGAATAATCAAGGAAAATATGTTACTCTTCGGTAATTGGTACATAGCTGTGTTACTTGAAATTGTGTAAGGCAGAGAATTGAAGATTTACGGAAGAGAAACAGGATAAGTGTGCGATTTCCTGTTACTCGTGACTTTAATAAATACATTTTGAAACAATTCTGTGTTTAGGAGATAACATATATCTGCTAATTACATATAAAAACATAGAAAAGTGCATCTTACTTGCTTGGAATTAAAGAAGAAAACTAAAGAGGCTCCAGCAGCTGTCAGTCCCCATGTGAAAAGAGTGCCGAGAAATGCTTGATACACTGGAGAATATCCTCTTAACATCACTAATTGTCGTTACTGGTCGTAATTTTCAATTTATCGTCGAAGAGAGATGCAAACGATTACCACCATAACCCATCCAGCGAATTACTTCTGCTAAAAAAGATTTGGCGTTATCGCCGGTAGAGGCGCTACCGTCGTTTCTTTATTTACCGAATTTTATTTTTATTCGTTTTATTATTATTATTTTTTTTTTAAATAAATTTTCGCAACAAGTAAAGATAAAATTATTATCTCGGGAAAGAGAAGGATAAATAATTTATTTCAAAATGTGGAAATGTGGTTATCTCTAATCTGTAATCATCGACGTCATTTACGCAGTTCATTTCTCTTGGTGATTTGCAACGATTAAAAAAAATGTCTATTTATTACTTTTTTTTCTTAATATGTATGAAAGTAAAATAAAACGACACAAATTGGTGAATTAAAATTGTTATTAAAAACATTTAAAAATAATTTCTTGTTCAATTCGCAAATTTGTTATATCAGAGTCGGTAGATTAATCTACCGACTCTAGTTATATTATCGTATTCGATCCACTGCCGAATGGCCGAGCGGTTAAGGTGTCAGCCTACTGCTATAGAAGACTCTAAATCGAACCCGGGTGAATAAAAAAAGTTCGGAAATTTTTGAGATTGGTCAGTCTCCTGTATATCTGAAAAAACCCTAGGAAATTTTCGGGGTTGTTCCGTTTCGGATATGCCGGGCCCTTACTTTCACCACCATTGTGGATCTGGCCGAATCCATAATTTCCTTAAAGAAAAAGACCTCCTAATGCCCACAGAGAGGAAAGAGTTTTTTAAAAAATCATATCTGGCATAACTGTTGTTTAAGTCTTCTTCGTAATTAATACAATAATTCAGTGAAAGTTATAATTCATATATATACGTTCATAAATTTTGTAAGATACTGTATTGTATTACAAGATTTATGAACGTATCTATATTAATTATAATTTTCACTGAATACGCGTATTGTAATAAGGGATGTTTGATAGTACTGTGTTAAATGTTAATTGAAATGGTGTCAAGAGGAAAGATAGAATCGAATCAAAAACTTTCAGGTGATTATTGATAATATAAACAGCGATACGATAGATAAGATTAATTTGACGCATTAACGTTTTAAACGCAATAACACGTCATGATAAGGTTTACGTCATACATGGAAAAAGCTTATTTTCGCAGTAAAATGTTTATTAAACAATTTCTTTTTTTTTAAATAAATTTTGAAAGTATTTTTCTTGTTCATGGGTTCGCTCTTTTTCGAGATACGGTAGCGTATATGTGCGTTTAATTAGAATTTTTTCCAGAACAGTCTGCGTGGAAGATGAGCAACGGTCTCCGAGAAGAAAGACAATGACTTTGTAACGAAAAAAATAAATAAATAGTTACAATTCGAAATCACTATAATTTTTGAGATCTCACAAGTATCAATAGTTTTCATGTTTAAGATCGAGATGATAAAAGCGTTAACGCTCTGAATCCTTTTTTTTCCTTTTAGCTCTTGGAGTCTGAACTGGATCCTTAAATTTTCTTGGTGGTTTGACCAGGATATGTCAGGTTCCAACTCCCACATCATTCAGTTGCTCCATTGTAAGTCTGGCCTAACCATTGATGAACATACAAGAAAGACCTTAATGCTCAAAACAAAATTATATATGTAAACAAGTTAAACCTGTATACTTAAAAACTCTGGAATTGTTATCAAGAGGTCATGATGCTCATTTTGCCCGATCGTGCGTTACTTCTAAACTCTTCTATCAACGAAACAGAAATGCCAGCGTGATATTTAAAGGATATCAAAGAAAAGCAGTTCTTCGAAAACAAATTCTTTCGAAGAACTTTTATACTTTTCGTTTTAATGCATATTATATTTGATGTTTATTGTAATGTATTTTTAATTTTATGTAATTGTCGGTCTTCGTTTTTACGCATATTTGTTAATTTTGAGTATAGATATCAATCGTCCTTCGAGACTTTTTATTTACTTGTAAAAATAAATACAGTAAATAAATAAAATGTGTATCATGCGTAAAATAAGTTTGTTCATTACAAAATCGTTCTTTTATATCGTTTAACTCGTTACTTAAAAAACATTATTTAAATTTACCTGCTAGGAGATCAATAAAAAAAAACGGTGATTTTAATAAAGAAAGCAAAAAATTTTGCATTTCGTCTGCTATTGATCTCTTATTTTGTCGCCCAAATGTCCGGCGTCTGGTTGACTATCGCCCAGTTGCTTATTTCTTTCTTTCTTAAGGCCTACCAGTGGCTAAGAGTTCCATTCCCTGAATACTGAGGGTTCGGTCGTTGGTTCGTGCCTCGCCAGGACGGGCTGGCCACGTGGAGTTTTCCGGGTTTTCTCCACGTCTGTAACGCCTGAATAGGGGCTAGTTACTCTTAAAAAGACCTCCCGGAAGGGCATCCCCTAAGCAGATCGCCGAAGTGTTACGTTGCCGTAACTTAACTAAACAAACAAACAAACTCTGTCTCTCTTCGGGGTTAATATGGTCGGGGTTAATAACTCTTCGGAGCCCTTCGAGCTCTTCGGAGGTTAACCTCCGAAGAGCCGGCCGAAGTGTTTTGCTTGACCATACGAAATTACTCGCGAAGATCCAGGAAAATGTTTTCCGAGAGATCTTTTAAGGGTACTAAGGGAAATTGGCCCCTATTTAGGCGTTAGAGATGTGCAGAAAACTCGGAAAACTCCAACGTGGCTAGCCCGTCCTGGCGAGGTACGAACCCACGACCGAATTACCAGTGTTCAGGAAACGGAATCGCTTGGCCACAATATGATGTCGAAGTGCGATGTGATATGAAATAAATTTTATATTGTTAAATACAAGAACCATTACCATGGTTTACTCATATGTTGTTTATTGATTCTTATTCTGATTTTTAAAATATAGTTTATCATTAATTTAATTTTTCTTCGCAGATTTACTCATTCTGAGACTCCAACTACTTCAACCCTTTAGAATTAACCCTTTAGAAGACAAAATATTTTGATTTGAAACTTATTGTAAGGTAGCAGAGGACTACTGGGATGATCCCTAATGACCACTTACTCTGCACTGGTTGGTGAAACCCGCTCTCGGTTTGTCGGATGGCTTAGGAGGGCAAATCGAGTGGGAGGGGTAGTGATGTCGTGACGAGGTGTCCGAATAACTACACAGGTTGAACAACAATAACACATTTAATAAACAACTAACTTGTAAGAGATTATACATATCAAAGGAAACAGCATAAATGACACACGTATAAATAATAAAAGGTTTCTATTCTCTATCTACGTTCTATCCTAAACTAAAGAATGAGAGAGACGTATTGGAGTGATAGACAAATTTCGGTCAAGGGTTCGATCTCGTTGTATAGGGCGTTGGTAGGACGCACTGGGATCGGAGGTTCCTAATCGTAGTTTCCCGTGGATGGCGATATGGAGCGATGGACGGTATGGCGGTATGGAGCTGGCGTCCCTTGCTGTCCGCTCGGCTATATCCGACGTGGGTGTACGCTCCGTTGATCTCCGACTGTAGAGGTCTGCATGGAGATGTCCGCTGAGAGTGGCTACCTGGCGGTGTCCTCTTCGGCTGTCCGCCGAGGGTGTTGATTTGGCGGGGTCCTTTTCGGTTGTCCGCCGGAGGTGTAAGTTCGATCCCTTTTTATACTCATCTCGGAGGGGGAATCATGGGGGAAGAAAATCTGATGCAATCGCCAGCTCCACTTGCGTATAGCTGTATTTATGTTATCGCCATCCTTTCCTTCCAATAATTGACATCTTCCCATCATAAATTTGTCAAACTACCTGATTTATGGACGTGAGTGACTCATGTCAGACTACATCTCACCCCTCAGAAAAAATCATTGCCTTATTTGGTCATTTAAATCGACTTTCTCATCGGTTCGCTCGGGGTGATAAAAATAAACTATACCAACGTGTGAAAATTCACACTTAAGTCCGAATTCTCACATTATGAAAATTTAAAATTATTTTGAAATAAATTGCTTAATGATAAAAAAAATTATTTTCAAAATTAATAAAGTATAAATAGTAAATGATAATTTTTAAATATTTGTGCTATTTTTTGGCTGTATTTGTCGCCCTCTTTCGAAGCAATCCGACATTTTGCGTTATCCTCCATCTTGTTAGGAGATCGGAAGGTGTCGGTAGACGTTTAACAATCTGTGTGCATCGACACTATAACGAACATTTTTATCAAGAAAGATGAAAACTATAATTGCCAGTCAGACGGTGAAAATACCGAAAGGTGTAGAAGTTAAAGTGAAGTCACGAAAGGTAACCGTGAAAGGTCCGCGTGGACGTCTACGTCGCGACTTTCATCACGTTCAAGTCGATATGGAAGTCATTACTAAAGATAAATTGCGAGTTCAGAAATGGTTCGGTAACCGAAAGGAGTTGGCTACGGTTCGCACCGTTTGTTCACACATCGAAAATATGATCAGAGGTGTAACTAATGGGTTCCAATACAAAATGCGTTCGGTATACGCTCATTTTCCCATTAACGTTACCACTACGGATAACAACAAAGTGGTAGAAATCAGAAATTTCTTGGGAGAGAAGTACGTCAGACGTGTTGGTATGCAACCGGGAGTCACATGTAAGAATTCAACTCAAAAGGATGAATTGATCATCAGTGGGAATGATATCGAATTGGTTTCTCGTTCCGCTGCAAGGATTCAACAGTCGACGTTAGTGAAGAGGAAAGATATCAGAAAGTTTTTAGATGGTATTTATGTTTCTGAGAAAACTGATATCTCTGATGATTAAATCTGTATCAATTAGAGCATCTTTGGATGAGAATAAAATGTTGATTGGGAATTAATTTGTTTTCTTGCTATATTTTCATTTAAAACTACTCGGTCGAATGTTAGACGTGCGATACATTATGCAGAGATGTTGCTGCTCCAAATATATGGAAGCCGAAATTGGGATTCAAAAACCTAGATTTGTGTGGGGATGCCATCTGTTGTCCCTGTTTTAATCTAGCTGAATCCAAAATGGTCTTATAAAAACTTGTTAAAAAAATACTTGATAGAATAAATTGAGATACCTAACTCCAACAAAGACTTACGAGAGCTGCTAATTACAGTAAATTATTTTTAACATACAAGTTGCATAATTTGAATGTTTTTGGGAAATAAAATAAAAACCACATTAATTCCAGCAAAATTATTAAAAAGTGATGGACAGTGGGGTAAATGTCAACTAGAAAGCTTTCATTAAAATAGTTATAGAAAAACACATCTTTTAAATAACGATATAAAGGATTCAAATTTTTTCCATATAGAATGTTACATCTTGTGTTGTATTCTTGTTAAAGAAATATATAAAATGCTATAATGAAGCTGATATGGTGATACATTTCTGTTCAAATTAGCATTGTTATATTCTGCATGAATTTTTCCTTTGACATTTCAGTGTGTGAAATGATAGATTTCTATCCTTAGGCTATTGAATGTAGCTAAAGAAATGAAAATCTCTTACAAATCTTCGGATAATTATTCTAAGATCTAAAATTTTTTCAATCAGGCTTTACAATCATCGTTCCAAAATTGGAACGATGATTGTAAAGCCTGAAGATGGCCTATCCAAATAGGTTGAAAACGTTCAGAATAAAGGAAAAACTCAGCAAATAGAAATCAGGTGTGTGTCTTAGTGTAATTCATTTAATTAACCAATGTTTTTGGTTACTTAACTATCGTCGCCAGGTTAATGTTCTAAATTTATTTAGAAAGATCAATTTCAATTATTCTAAGTTTTTAAAAATATTTAAATAAATAACAAATTTCTCTACAAAGTTAATGTAATATATAGCATGCAGCCACCTGCTACTGTGTAAGTCCTTTTGGGCATTTGATAGTGTTCATTTCATGTTTATGCACTCTTCTATCCTAGTTTATGTACTATACTTCTAAAATTTCTGTATAACACACAATTGCTATTCTAATTTAAACAGTTATGAATCTTTGTCCAGTTTTATATTAAATTTATCTTTTAAGGAATTAACTTGTTTAAAAGGCAAGACAACTTCCCCCCCACAATGTTGGAATAATTTGCCAAGATTTGATTTTAGTTGCTTCATATGTAATGTGTTGCATAAACTATCTAGAAGTTAAAATTTTATTTTTACATATACACAGAAAATGCATTGAAATAATTTATTTAAGAAAATGCATACCTGTGCCATATTTTGGACTTAAATTGCTTCAGGAAAAGTTTAATTGGTATTTTTATTGTAATTATGCAAAAAGGAAAATATGTCGTATACTCTTTTATCCTGTTTTATAACAATCGAATGTAAAACAGCTTTGAGACTGGCTAACCATATAGACAATGCATTACTTTCATATTTAAATATTCTGTTTTGAAGATGATATATAAATCTTTTAAGTGATTCTAAAAACAAACTAATTATCTGTATTTTGTTGGATAACATATTCTTTCATAATGAGGAATATTTAATCTATAGAACTGTTTTAAGTTAATTTTCCTTAATTTAAATGTTTACACAAATAATCAGCTTAAAAACAGTTTTAAGCAGGATGCTCTAAATGACTGTTTTCAAAGTTAAAAATATATGATTGTTTCTGTATTACAAGATGTATACATTAAATAACTATATCAGACTATGGTAACGGTGATGTATGAGGCTTATCAAACTATTGGAGAATTAGAAAATCAAGATCACATCAATAAAAGACTACCTTTATTAGTTGGATGCATTTTGGTCTTCACTAGGCTCTCTTCAGCCATTATTACATAAATATTGATACCTGTAATATTTTAACTTATTTACTAAAGTATGATCTCAATTTTTTTCTAATAAAGCTCCAATAGTTTGATAAGCCTCATACATCACCAATTGGTAGTTTGAGATAATTATTTAATTCATTAGAGGAAAGAAGCTTACAACTAGATGTATTTTTTGAAGTATTAATGCTGCTATAATGTTGAAATTATTGTTTGATCCTGTGATAAATTATTTTAATATCAAATGATCAGGTTCATTAAAACTGTGTGGTATAGCTTAGCTCACAACAGAAACTGGGCACAAGTGGAGTTCTCTGATAAGACTTTTTTTAAATATTTCTAATTTTTATAGCAAGATTAGAATGTTATCTTCCACATCTGTCTCTGCTGGGTGACTTTACAAGCCAAATAAGCAGAATTAAGATAATGAAAGTTTGACTGAAGCAATGTACAATGAAACCTGCTAATATGACCACTTTGAACTGGTCCCTTTAGTGGTCACATTAGCAGGTTTCACTGTATTCAGTTTAATTATGATGATATATATTAATAACATTCCTAATGTTTTTAATTATAATATGCAAATCAAAACAAAATAATGTAGCAATATGTGCCTATATTATAAACTCATACAAATACTAATCTTACAGTAGTTTTTCTTATAGAAAAGAGCAAAAACAATAGTTTTAGGAAAGGTCAATCTGAACTGTGGAAAAAGATGGCGGTCAGAAAGAATATGGGAACACTACTATGCATATGTAGCTAGAACTATTTCTAAGACTAACAGCACAAAACCTTTCTCACTAATTTCAGTTAATAAGGCTAGAAATTAGTGAGAAAGGTTTTGTGCTGTTAGTAATATGGGAACAACCAGTACAAGAAACAATGACAAGCTGATGATAACCAAAGAGGAGAGGATGGAAGAAAATATGTGATCAGTGCAGTCAACCTTTTTTGGAGCCTGGGGGTATAGTGGGTTCCTTTTACCTCTTAGTGAGTCCATTTAGCCTTTTGTTTTGGAACTAATGAAATAAATGCTTTATTAATAAAAAAAGATCAAAGATTTTATTTTGGCTAATAAAAATAACATTACTTTTATAGGGCTTTCTGGGTTAAAAAAATTCCCCAGCTACTCCCTCTTGACACCCTGTGTGTAATGGATGTGGAAAATGGCAAATGTAACATGCTGCACAAAACATTGCAATCTGTTGTTAGATGAGAATGAACTTAAATTACTGTATAACTCACTCCTTATATTCATTTCTAATCAATTTGAAAGATGATGTAGGTTATATGTCAATTTTAAATGGTAATCAAGAACTTGCATCTATAGAGCAATGACTAATCTCCTGGACAAGAAGTATATGATGGGATGGGTTGTGTAAAGGTTTTATTTTTGTTCTATTAAATCTTTGCAGGTTATATCCATAAAAATACAGTATATTAATTTAAATTCTTAATTTTTACACAATTTTTCCTCCATTATAAAAAGTTCAATATAGTCATATTATAATAATAATAATTGATTTTTTCTTTTTCTGACTTCATATTTGACTTTTGTTAAAATGCTTTGTACTCATTCTTAAGTATGTAGAATCCTTTTGTTGTAGGCTGCTTTTATTGAACAATTTTTAAAAACATGATTACTTTGTCTCTTCGGTTTATAAAATATTTTTCAATATGTAATGCTGAGTAAATATCTTAGTGAAAAAACTCTTGTATTCATTGCTTGAATAATTTATATAAATTAGTATTCATTATCAATAACCACAAACTGAAATGACAACTTGTAACCAAAATTTTCTGTAACTTTAGTATAAAACCAATTTTAGAACTAATCATGACAGTAGTTTCATGTATTATTCCTTAAGGATATCAGTTTACTTTATCAAAGGTCACATATTTTAATGTGTATTCTATATCAAATAACACTGTCAGCAATAATTTTTGAAAGTTGTCAGCCATTTTATTATCAGTCTATTGGTTTCTATTCCATAACAAATTAATAATGGCTGCAAGAATAAATTTGTCAGATCAGTTATCTGATTTCACAATGAAAATGGTCATAGTACTTCATAAATTGTGAATTATGCAAACTTTGTGGCCTTACAGTAGTGAGTGAAGTGAAGCTTAATACTAAAATTAATTTCAAGTTATGACAAGGAGTGAATGATAAGTTATCAGAGTAAGTGTCAGTAGAACCAAAGTAAATGATTGGCTATAAGACTAGAATGAGTGTGGAGTGAATCACTATCAGTCACATTATCTAGATACATTGAGACTTGCGTTACTATGGTAATAGAAAAACTTGAAATGTCACAAAGTTTAGTAAGTTTAATATTATCATCTAATATGATACAATTAATAATAATTATTGTGTACACAAGAACACAATATTCAGTTAATAATATGAACACATTGTATCTATACTATTTAGAAAAATAGTTGATTTGCATCAGTCAGATCCACTCTTATTTTTAATAAATATAAAAAGTAGTCATGTATGCTGTATATCTATTCTCTGCACATTTAATTTTCCTGCATGTTCTTCCAGATATTCTTGCTGATGGTTGGAAGTCGTTTATTTTGTTCCTTGCTCTTTCTACTCTGTGAACACCAAGAAGGCTTTTTTCTCAAGCCTATGGTGGGTTTGGCCAGGTCCACAATGGATAGTGAGGAACAGGGCGTGACATATCTAGGATACACCATCCTGAAAAACTGGGGATTTTCAGTCTGCCCAGATTCAATCCTGGTTCGTTCATAAATAGACATCAGCTTATCTTTCAGAGGCTGATAACGTTCATTATGAAATAAATGCCTCGAAACAAAATCGGCCATTCAGTGATACCGATCATTATTATAATGAACATTAACTGAATTGCTGATTCTAAGTTTCGAACTATTCAAATTCTTATGAAACAATACACATGTTGAAGCCTTTATATTTTTAAATTTAATCTGATGAATTTTCGTAAAAACGCTATGCACATTCTCAATTTTCAAAATGCATTAAGTTAATTAATTTTAATAGACATTGGATATTGCTTATCGTTTTGCTACATTTGATGCAATCACGTGTTTAAAGATGTTGCAGACTGACGTGACTTTTTAATACAGAAACACTTACTCCAATTAATTGGTGTAGAAATAATACATATTTTTGGATATATTTGATTCTCTATGAAATCAAATATGAAGAAAAGATGGAGAACGTAGAATTGACCCAATTTATCATGAAACATCAGAATTAGAATCCGGATCCTCCAGGCACTGGAGAGTTATCTTGATCTTAAAAATCATTAAATATGAGTAAGTTTCTGAAGGACTAAAAACTAGATGACCTGATAAGGAGGTTAAGGAGTTACTTTATCACTCTGAGGAACCGGGGTCGAATTTGAAAGAACAATCTCAGGAATTTTTCATGGCCGATTAGAACCGTCCTTCACCGTCCAATTTCCTCCATGATGGGTATGATTAAAAGGTCCTTTTGGTATTCACGGAGGGAAAAGAATCAACATGGGTATTGCTTAAACAGGAGCGGTTCAGGGGAGGCGATGAGCGATCCCCCAAGCTTCCAATATCCCAATAACCCAAAAACTCAGTGTTTAGACATTGAAACTTAAAATTGCCAAATCCATCTATGACTCGCTTGTATTGGATGGATTAGATTGCACCCAGCGTGTTGCTTCTTGATTTTTTCATTATTCAATACAAATAAATAAATCAGAAGCATCGGTTAATCTCCCGAGCACTCTGAGTGATGTAGGATTAGGTGCTTGCGTTTATATGTTACACTTTTAGCCTATTGGGCTATTTGGATGTATATGGTTGTTTGTTAATTAAGTTATGGCAACGCAACACTTGGGTGATCTGCCTAGGGGATGCTTTCCGGGAGGTCTTTTTAAGGGAAACTGGCCCCTATTTAGGCGGTAATTATTGCTTCCCCTATGACGGACGTCTGGATCCGCGGCTGTGCTTAAATGGAATTACAGTACTGGTAATTTTTCTATTTCAGTAATTTCAGTCAACCTGTATGTAGGCTAAACGAATTACTATAAATTCATTTATACAGGTTTAACTTCTTTTTAATTCATTAACCATAATTAATTTAGGATTAAGCGTAATAATTGAAAACAGTTAAGTAAATCAATTTCAAGTAATTAAATTATAATTTAATTCGAAATTCTAAAAAAAAGTAGAAACATATTTTACAATTAAATAAAGAAAAATGGATCTTGTATAAATTCAAACCGGGTACACAAATAGTATTTAAATGTTTCTTCTCTAATTTATTAAATAAAAAAGTTTATAAATAAGTGATTTAAACTTTAATCAAGATTAATTTGAACTTTATCTTGATATGAGATTGTATTTTGTTGACCTTTAACGCCCCATAACAGAAGATCATTGTCGTATATCGAAACTCAATCTACTGACCTCGGTTTAATGAAGTGCTAGATGTTCAATAAGTTTCTCTAGTTCTATCTGATTCAGATGATAACGGATACATTTACATTTAGAAATCAGCAGATAATATAAAAATAAAATTTCTCTACTTTATTGAAGCCAGCAGCAAGGTAAGTACGAATTATATAGAATATTGCAATTTGAAATGCTAGAAATTCTAGAATTATTGCGCGTTTTTTGAAAAATCTATGAAGTTTCTAATATGTACATAAGATTTTAGACTATATTTACAATATTTTCTATATTAGAAGGTTAATAGAAACTTAAAATGTATCAGTAAGATATGTATATTTCATTAAAGTACGGTTTTCAGAAAAAATTTTAAATGTATGAAACAATTACATTATTCGCATCGTTAAGTGTTAAATTATCGTAAACGAAAAGTTTTTTTTTTTTTTTTTTTATAAATATTAAATAGATGTCTCTTCCTTTCTGCAGAATTTTTAATATTTTGTAATGCAATTCTTTGTAATTCCTTCCACAAATTAGAAATATTTCAAGACACAAAATGAAATTAATTTTTGGTTTTATAATGTAAGGTATATCACATGAAAATCTGTAACTTGAGAATGTATGTTTTATTCTATGTTCCGGATGATAATTTATTTATTTATTTATGTTTTAAATGCGCAACGAGGTCAAGTTAATTAGTGCGCACTAAATATCACTTATGAGATAAGATAATTAGAAATATTATAAAATTAATAATTAATCACAAAGTAGTTTGATTTGAAAATTGATACATGCATTTAAATAAGTTATGGAGAAATCTTTTTTAAAACTCTTCGCTCTTTGAGCCCTAAGAGGGTCTTCTTTGTAGCAAGCCTATTATGGGTTTGGCTAGGCCACCAATGGGGCGGCCGGAACGGGGCCCCATTGGTGGTCTATCAGATATGTCGGGCCGGAACGGGCCCGACATATCTGATAAACCACTTCCAAAAATTCTTGGGATTTTTTGACCCGTCTAATCCCGGGTTTCCCAGAGCGATAGGATGCCACCTTAGTCATTTGAACTGTTGTTATGGAGTAATTAGAATATTTTAAAATGGCGAGCCTAAGTTTCTTTACATGGTTTATTACAGGATGCATATACAAGTATGCTTCGATAAGTTTATATATATATAAATTTATTAGTATTAGTGAAAATAGGTAATGTATAAAATCATCCAGGCAAATGAAATATTTTGTTTGCTTTTGTAACGCGTGAAATAATCTACGATGTCTAAGTTATACGCCCTCGATATTATATGTTGCAAACCAAACTCCAGTTTGCGCAATATTGGAAGCTTGTCTACGATGTAGTCGATAATAAGGACAGAAAATGGATATGATGTCCTGATCCTAATTGATCATGAAAAGTGGCAGATTACTCAATAGGTGCGCGCCTAGGATCTTGTCGTCTCGAGGGGCCTCAAAAATTACATAGCAAAAAGATATGACTAAAAATTTAGTGAACGTTTAAAAAGTGTATATTACAAAAAACCTTGTTATTTAAGGATTTTATTGTCTTTTTAACATCAAAAAGCCACTTTTACATAAAGGACCTTGTAACAAAATTGTGCCTATGGCTTTATACGAACATAATCCGCTATTGATCATGAATTAGCCTAAAGATCCGAATCAAATTCGAACCTGGATACTCCAGTGTGGTATGTGAATGCATAACGCTTGTCTATCTGACCGGAGTGTTTCCACTAAATTTTCCTATAAATCAAAGTGTAAATTGTATGTAGGAAGATTATTCAGCACTGACGCCGAAAAGGTCCATTTTGCCGGTGTTATTTGGAAATTGAGAGGTGGCAATCGATATTTCAAGAACGCCGTCATTTGAAGATCTACAGCAGTATATAAATTAGAAATTTTTGAATAAAATCACAAAATTATATAGTACATATGCAAAATAGTATTTATTTTATGTGACGTATGTCATATAAAATAAGTACTATTTTGTTACAATTAATTGTAGCATAATTTCTAATAATCCAAGCAAATAAAATAAAACCTGTAAGTGATTTTTATTATTCTAACTAGAATTAAAATGTTTGTGAAATTGGCTAGAACTATGAAATGTTATTAATAAATTGCAGTTTAAATTAAAATTTTTTGAAGACAAAATCAAAAACGTATAGCCTTTTTCTAATATATGTTCAAACGGGGATTTTTGCATAATTCTGCTTGAAAGTTTCGGAAAGTATTTAAATAACTCTCTAAAATTTTAATAGCAGCAATAAAATTACTTACAATCACACAATTTAACATCCGGCTTTTAGACATCATCCGAAGATATCGCTCCGAACGGAGCGATGATCTTCGGATGATGTATATTGATTTGTAACGCTTACTCATATAAATGAAAAAATTGACGTTGCTCGAATTATTAATTTATTATTTATTTCAGTACTTTGGCACGTCAATTAAACATATAATGTATAAAATAATATTAAACTTTTCGAACTCTCATATTAGGCTAAATTTGGAGAATCCGTGCTTCTCGCATGGACAACTGTATGTGGCCGGCTCACGCGTCGAAAAACCTTCCGATTTATTCGTGTACGCACCAGACGGAAAAACAAAAAATATCGTGAATCCACAAACACTCCAATAAATAAATAGAATTGAAACGACTTTTTGAACTTTTCTATGAGCACATTATCGTGTGCATTAGTGATTCGATCTATAACGAGGAACCCAAATAATAAGGGACTATCCTAACTCGACGAGTGTCACAGACCAGCGGAAAATAAAGGACTTACATTACTCCATTTTGTATTCAAATGCAATGGCGTATTATTCTATGGGCTAAAAGGGCAATTACGTGCCCTAAATATTTAAGGTATTACGTGCCCTATTGTAATATTTTAATATTTAAATATTAAAATATTACAATTACTCAAAATAATATTTTATAAGAAAATATTTTTCCAAAAAAATTCTCCAAAAGAAAAATTTCTGAAGTCAACACTGTACATGGGCTTCTAATTCAAATTCGTCTGGGCGCTACGAAGCTATAACGCGCCACTGTTCAAACGTAGCGAACCACTAAACACTGGTAAATGATTCGCTCGTAGTTGGTCGTGGGTTCGCGCCTCTCCAACGGGCTGGGCATACGGAGTCTTCCGGGTTTTATTCGCGTTAGTAACACCTAAATAGGGACCAGTTTCCTTAAAAGACCTCCCAAGAGGCATCCCCTCGGTAGATCGCCCATGTGTTGCGGCAACACGACACATGGGCGATCTACCGAAGGAGAAAGAGAAAGGAAAACACTTCCCTTTCTTCTTCTCCTTTCAGCTAATCATTTTATAGTGTGATATCTTCGTATTTTTATGACGAGGGAGCCTAGCCGAATTGATAACGGGCTGGCTAAAAAGGCCCTTTTAATGCCCACACGACAAAAATGTTTTGAAAATACTGTTTTTAAATATATAAACAAATAAAATTATTTTATTTAATAGATAAACAGAATTTTAAAATAAATTTTAATTAAAATAATTCAAATAATATGCGTAATATTTATTCTAATCGTCGCGTTATTTACGAAAAATAATCATAATATTTTATTTTATTTTTATGACAGAAGCTGGCAACGTAAAGAAAACCAGACGAACTAAACGTAAATAAATACAATCCGCTAGGAGGCAGTGACGTCAAGGCGAAAATCACGAGAGACGATTATGAGAAGTTTATGAACGTATTTGAGAAAATTTAACAATGTTATATTGAATTAATCTTTTATCGCAGGCGAAAAGAGATTAAACTAATGTAAAAATGGAGATAATCGAACGTCGGAGTAGACGTCCGGAATCAATGGAGACCACCGGAGTACTCGTCTGTAATTGTACTTCTTATTGCTACTTTACCTTGGCCATTATACTTTTCTCGGTTGGAACTGTCATAACTATCCTTGCTTTGGACGACAGCGAAAATTTCTTCTCTAGTTTGGGTCACATGTGGGTGGTTGGACCGATTTTTATAAGTTCTGGCCTCATGGTTGCTGTCAAAACTATAGTTTACTTAAGAAGGGAAACTATGGTCACTTTTATATCAAGGCAGAGGTCTTTACTTAGGGTAAGTCACTTTTAAATCCTCTCTTACATCCTTATTTCACTCTGTGTAAATATTGATCAATATAGAGTTTATTTTTGCCTTATAAACAAACAACAAATTCTTGATTATTTTAAAGATTGTTTGTTAGAAGTGCATCTAGGTAGCCCCAATGGCAGTACTTCAAAGCCTGTGGTGTTTAATTATTTAGCCCACATGACTCTGCCGGCTTCGATTATCCGACTTGACTGTTTGTGGAGTACTTGATGTTATACATAGTTTTAGGGACGCACGTCTACATGCAAAGCATGTAGAATAGGTGTTAGACTGATACATGTTAAAACCTGACCTTCATACCATAGGGGTTACTTAACCACTTTGCTACTGCTGCTTTCAGCTCATTGCTCTCTTTGGATCATTGAGAATGAAGACACTGAGATGAAGGAACATATAAAAGTCATTTGTGCAAGGTTTGGGCTATACAAAGGAGATTCAAAACATTTCCATCTAAACTGCTGAATTTTTTGTATGGAGTGTTTGGGTGCACTTTGTCATAAAAAGTGATTTCTGACATCAACATCAACATTACCAATTCTGAATGCTATGTATGATGACATGATGGCATCAGAAATCCATGAGGATAGCATGTTTTTGATTCCAAATAAGTGGCGATAACCTTCCATGTTAACCCGGTTTTTTTTTTTTTTTTTGCTTTGGTGAAGATTGATGATGCTATTGCATGGATTGTTGTTTTGACTCAATGTTCACTTGAGAAATTTGTTTTGTTACCAGCAATGAGAGACAATTCTTCTTCCTCTTACTTGTAACAGTCTAAAACAGGGCTTCTTAAACTTTTTTGTTCACAACCCCATTTATGATTGTGATTTTTTTCGCGACCCAAAAAAATATAAAGATATATACAAATTGGCAAAAACAATAATGGTGTACTATCACAGTTCACTCTTGTGTTACAATGGAACAGAGAACTGAATACACTGAAAAGCGACAACACTACACTAGTTCACACTATAATCAGTGTTGTTAAATTGTTGTCTCGCTGCACCAGAAGTGACACAAAGTGCATCTCACGAAACCTATGATACAAAGCGTGCCATTTTCAAACTCTCACAAATTATTTTCAATATTTTGCATTAAAATCTCGCGACCCCAAGATTTCGTTAAGTGACCCCAAATGGGGTCACGACCTATAGTTTAAGAAGCCCTGGTCAAAAAAATAAATATATAGATTCCATTCTGAAGTAAAGCTTAGGCAAACTGACAGCATTGCCTAAGCTTTACTTCACTCATTATGCTAGGGCCATAAATTTTATATAATTTGCAATAAGTTTCTGTGGTATTGTGACGTTTTGCATTAATAAAATAATATCAGATCTGCAAAGTCAGATTACTGATCTGACTTGCAGCTGGTGGAATTGTTTATTCTTTCAGCCATTATAAATCTGTCATGGAATAGAAAATATAGACTGAAAACTACTTAAAGATCACTTATTATTATACTTAGAATTATTATTAATATTNTAATATTTTTAAAAACTCTGCTGTCAAAATTAAGTCTTTTGCCTTTTATTATAATTAATAATATAAAAGTTATTTTTTAACTAGGACATTGTGTGACCTTTATTGTATTGTGATAGAAAGAAGGCAGAGCTGGGAAGAAAAAAGCAATGCTTGCATTTGTTAGACACAGAAAAAGTGATCCTTGTACCTGACAGTCATGGATAGATGAATTTTGCACTTTCCATCATGAAAGAGGCTATCTTTGCACTGGCTGGGGGCACAGAGATGATCCTTGCACTTTACAACAACACGGAGAGGCAATCCAAGAACAAAGCAATCAATGCCAAATGTTTTATTCTTGAGTTCTGTTTGTTTTTTGCTCTATTTTCTGTTAGGTGTATGCAATACTGTTTTTTAATTTGACTCCTAAATTTTGTTAGGTGTGCTGAGGGAGCACAGATATTATTACTTTGACTCCACTTTATATGAAAATGACGACATGGATTACTATTTTCTACATTTAAATTTTACATTTCTGGAATTTTCATCACAATCAGCATAAAATGGCAAAGTTTTATGAGAATTAGCTTATCAAATTTTGAGAATGAATTCAATTCTATAAATACACAGAAGGCATGCTAGCGAGTTTGGGACATTGTGTGATTTGTGAGACATTATGTTGTCACACATGCTTTTGTTAGGACTTTGTATCTTGAAAATGAAGTCATGGACCCCATTGTTTATTTCATTTTTTGGTAATTAATGGAAAATGGCAACATTTTATCAAAGTCAATTGACAGATTTCGAGAACAAACAATTCTATAAGCCATTATAAATCTGTCATGGAATAGAAAATATAGACTGAAAACTACTTAAAGATCACTTATTATTATACTTAGAATTATTATTAATATTATTATATTAGAATTATTGTACATGTACTGTACAATCCCATATAGTGGGGGTTGTACAGTACAGTACAGTACATGACCAACCATCAATAATCTGTAATTAGTGACTGGGCTTTATTTTTGACATACACCTCATACATCAAAAAGATAAATTTGAAAAAATTAACACATTATTTGATAAATTAACTTTTTAAAATATATTATAGATACCAGACGGAAAAACAAAAAATATCGTGAATCCACAAACACTCCAATAAATAAATAGAATTGAAACGACTTTTTGAACTTTTCTATGAGCACATTATCGTGNATCAGATCTGCAAAGTCAGATTACTGATCTGACTTGCAGCTGGTGGAATTGTTTATTCTTTCAGCCATTATAAATCTGTCATGGAATAGAAAATATAGACTGAAAACTACTTAAAGATCACTTATTATTATACTTAGAATTATTATTAATATTATTATATTAGAATTATTGTACATGTACTGTACAATCCCATATAGTGGGGGTTGTACAGTACAGTACAGTACATGACCAACCATCAATAATCTGTAATTAGTGACTGGGCTTTATTTTTGACATACACCTCATACATCAAAAAGATAAATTTGAAAAAATTAACACATTATTTGATAAATTAACTTTTTAAAATATATTATAGATACATATGATGATGATGATTTGTTTTAATTCATAATTTGAGAATTAAAATATGAATAAAATGTAGATTTTATTACTTTTACAAGAGGATAGTTTAGTTTTTGCACTGTCTAATAAAAAAATTCTAAAATATTCGAGTTAATAATGCAAATATTTAATCTGAAGATCTGTATGTAGTTTCTATGATTAAATTTTTGATACAATACTTGTAAATTTTCATTAAGTTGCAATAATATATTAATTATTAAAATTTCCTACATATTTAAATGATTGCTTTCTAAAACTCTTCTATGTATTGATTTATGATTTATACTTCAAGGTCTTTACAAATTTTTTAAAAACAAATATTGTGGAGTACTGCCAAAATACTTCTTTAATAAAAAGGAAACCACTTTTCTTAAGTTTGCTAAAATGAAGAAAGGTAGTTTCCTTTTTGTTATCTGTTTATGTAAAATATTTTTAAAGTATAATTTATGTATTTACTTGTTAAATTTACTTGTTATATTTTAATATATCTATATTTATTGCTAAATTTGTGGAAACAAGCATTGTATCATTTCTTAATAAGAAGCTGTTATATAATGAGTAATTTATAATAGTAACTACCACAACTTTATAAATAACTATACAGCTACATGTACAATTAATGTCATATTAGCATTAAACTTTTATTTTTTTTATGCAAATTAATTGAAGATTCATGATAAATTCAAGATAAACTAATACAAGCTGATTATACTTTGAGTTGTTATTGTAAATATATTTAATATGTCTGCAGTGTTAAAAAGATGAGATTATATAAAAAGCACAATACTTTTATTATAACATGAAATTTGTGCTTGAAGAGGAAAAGTTGGTGTATTTTTGGAAGATTATTCCTTTACAATTGAAAATGAATCAGTTTTTCCTGTTTTATTACGTGTTTTGTGCAATGTTTTTCTTATTATTGATAGTTTTAGTATTTTTTTGCTACTCAGATGGGTTTAATAGTCATCAGTCTGATTTTAAAATGTGTACAACAATATTTACATGTATTATATAAAACATTCATCTGTTATACTGAGTCATGACAATGATAAATCTTCAAATTTTATAGTTATCTTCTTTGATCAAATTTAATAAATTAAATATTTACATTACAAATTANTGTAAATTTTAAATGAAGGAAATTCAAACTCTTCTAATAATTAAGAAGAAATTTCCTGGAATTTCATACCTTAATGTTCTCTGTACAGAATATTAGACTGTCTCTGATCAAAGTTAAGAAACATACTAGAGCAATGCTTGGCCAATAATCTTAGTTCCAATAAATAACAACTGTTGTAAGCAACTGAAATAGATCCACCGGAGAGATTGAGAACATTCTTGATTATTAAACTGTGCTGAAGTTTCTTAGGTGAGTGTTTTATTTGCTTGGTGTATTTACCAAAAAATGATAACCTGGAACATTAGTTACCATAAAATAAATAAATACCACATTTCCACATGTATTTTTCAAACTTTTTTGCCATATTTTACTAAACAAAAATTGAGATGTGAAAAATATGTGAATTATTTTCAAAGATAGACTATATAAGTATTTATTCACTATTTATTCAACCTTTGGTACAACATAGTTCTTCTAAGTACAGAAAGATTTTTCCTCTTCATAAATCTGCTGACCCATCCTCAACTAGCTCTGGATCATAAGTTTGAGTTTTCCTTTAGACTGGATGTTTATATGTTGTATAAAGAGAAAACATTTGTTTTGTGGTGTTTGTGCTTTTGCTCCTGACTAAATTAGAATAATCTGAAAGAAGTATTATTTGATTTGTTTTGTATTAAAAATGTAAAATTTGAAGAATTATTTAGAATAAAATTTAAACTTTTCATTTAGTAATGTTACTGAAGATGAGATTAGTTATAAAATAACAGTAATTTTGGTAGTGTAG